GATGCAATCAACGAACTGGCGACTTGAGTTCTTATTGTAATATGGTTGTGGGGTGCTAACACTTGCGAGTACTAGTCTGCAGATATCTTGATTCGGGTGTTTGGTTCTTGCTATGTTTAATGCAGGATTGGATCTGGCTGAAAACAGTGAGATATTACTATAAGATTCAGGGCTTATGCTTTGAAATGAATTATGAGATGATATGTAGTTATGGGATCCTACTTTGCCAATTAGTGTTCTGAAGATCAACTTATGTTTTGGAAAACCTCTCTTTGGCATGTTGGTCCATCACCTCTTCCAGCAAAGGTTGAAATGACATCCCCCCAAAAAAAATTAAGTCAGTAATCAAGGCTGGAGTCTCAAAGGGGCTCATTTGCCATGACCCTAATCTGGGTTTTTGGAAAGAGATACCATTGAGCCAGAGAATTGGCATACCTTCATGTCATAGGCCTTTGGTGGGGGCATTTCTTCACATTTGCTGGAGGTGGTGCTGACAGGGCATGCTGGAGTTCCTTAATTAAAGTTTTAAGTATTAGATCCCTCTCTGCTGTTTTGTTTTTTTGTTTTTTTTGTTTTTCCTTTTGTTAAAAAAGAAAGGTTTTTGGTTTATCATATTATGTTAGTTTGAGTTCTCTTCTTTCGAAATTTATCAAGTCTAGCTGCTTTTCATCCCAATAAAAAGCTAATTTGCCCATCTTTTGAAATATTTGGGAAATACTGTAATTCGATGACCGTAAAGTATGGTACCACAGTTCCTTATAAAGTGTTTAGTGTTCCCCGCTCTCCAGGTGAATGAATTAATTTAACCAGTGGGCACCTGGCTGGAGCTATATTTTGTGCACTTTCACCCAAAATTGCAGGAGTCAAAGGAGCTATTGATACTCTGTTCTTGAATACATTCATTGATTATTTTTTGTTCATGTATTACAGGCTTGGAAATCCTTGTTCTACGAAGTATGATTTCATTGAGTTCATTACAACTGTTTGAGTTTTTTGTCTGAAAATGTTAACCTGCTCTTAATGAGTTCTGCAGATTTTAAGAAGGAAGCATGTCTCATCGTAAGTTTGAACATCCAAGACATGGCTCTTTGGGATTTCTTCCTAGGAAAAGAGCCTCCCGCCACAGAGGAAAAGGTTTTTGATGCTTTTCCTTTATCTGAATAAGCATTTTGAAGACTTGGGGTTTCTACAGTTCATGTCCATATGTCGTGGTTAAAAGTTATAATCGGTTATACTGAAAATTTGAATTACTGACACATCAATTATCCACTATATACACTTCTGGTGATGGATACATCTAGCTAGGAACCCTCACCTTTCTGTTAAAGTGTTATTTGACACATAAAGTAGCAAGTTGCTGATTCGCTTGAGGTAATCTATATGATATATGCAATGTAGTTCTATATTGGTGACATAAGCAAGTTAAAGTAGTAACATTTTGTTTATGTGGAAACAATCTAAATAACTGGTTTGTTGATGTTGTCTGCTATATCCTCTCATGACGACCCTATCATCCTATTCTACATTGCTTCTCTTCTTCTTATTCTAAATGAAGTTAAATTTCTGTTCATGTTTTTATGTTGCAGTCAAGGCCTTCCCAAAGGATGATGCAACAAAACCGTGTAGGTTAACCGCCTTTCTGGGATATAAAGCTGGGATGACTCATATTGTCAGAGAAGTTGAAAAGCCAGGATCCAGTGAGTTTTCTTGTGTGCCCAATAAATTTGCAGTGCTCATAGTAGTGCAAGAAATTGATTGAGTCTATTCATCTGGGAATTTATTGGCAGTTTTTATATCATATATGTATCACATCTGCCAGTATATCGAGATTTTTTTGTGTCGACTTGTTATTATTGTTAACAAGATGTTATAGTTACTTCATGTTGAGAGGTAAATCTTAAAGGTTGGAGGTAATCAGTTTCTGAATTGAGCAAATCTCTTCACCACTGACTAGTTTACTGCAACTGTGATAATCTTTTGAAAAAAGCTTTCAAGTTAGTTTTTAGCAAAGTTGCCTGATGCCCTTTTTTAATGGGTTTATGCAGAACTTCACAAGAAGGAAACATGTGAAGCAGTTACTTTGATCGAAACCCCTCCTATGGTTGTGGTTGGTTTGGTTGGCTATGTTAAAACACCCCGTGGTCTCCGTTCTCTGAACACTGTCTGGGCTCAGCATCTTAGTGAAGAGGTGAAGAGAAGATTCTACAAGAACTGGTGTAAGTCCAAAAGGAAGGCTTTCGCCAAGTATACTAAGAAATATGAATCTGAAGATGGAAAAAAGGACATTCAGGCGCAATTGGAGAAGATGAAGAAGTATTGCTCTGTCATCCGTGTTTTGGCCCATACCCAGGTGAACATTACTTGCTTTCTTGCTAAACTTGTAATCTTCTCCGGTGCAAAGCAAAAATTTGTGCATCAATGGATTTGAATGGCCGCATGTTCCTTATGATATACGATTTCGGAATCTCCCTACTATTGTGGGGTCTGTTATTAGCTGCTTCTTTCTAATTTTTAATGGTCTGATTGTAGATAAGAAAAATGAAGGGACTGAAGCAGAAGAAAGCCCATCTCATGGAGATTCAAGTGAATGGTGGGACTGTTGCCCGGAAAGTTGATTATGCTTATGGATTCTTTGAGAAGCAGATTCCAGTGGATGCTGTATTTCAGAAGGATGAGATGATCGACATCATTGGAGTGACCAAGGGTAAGGGCTATGAGGGAGTGGTGACCAGGTGGGGTGTGACTCGCCTTCCTCGTAAGACCCACCGTGGGCTTCGCAAGGTTGCTTGTATTGGGGCCTGGCATCCTGCTAGGGTCTCATTCACAGTTGCCAGGGCTGGTCAAAATGGTTATCATCACCGTACTGAGATGAATAAGAAGGTCTACAAGGTTGGGAAAGCCGGTCAGGAGTCTCATTCTGCTATGACTGAATTTGACAGGTTTATAAGCTCGTTCCTTTTGTTTTTCACCCTTTCTTGTATTACTTGGTTTCTTCACGTTTTTAGAGTCTTGAGACGGTCAAAGCATGACATTCTTCTACTTGAGGCAAGTCATCAAACTGGGAGGGATATGTCTAATGTGGCTATTTATGTCTTGATTCTAGGACTGAGAAAGACATTACACCTATGGGAGGGTTTCCCCACTATGGTGTGGTGACGGAAGACTACCTCATGATAAAAGGATGCTGTGTGGGCCCGAAGAAGCGTGTTGTCACGTTAAGGCAGTCCTTATTGAAACAAACTTCTAGAGTGGCCATGGAGGAAATCAAACTCAAGTTTATCGATACGTCCTCCAAGTTTGGCCATGGTCGTTTCCAGACAACACAGGAGAAGGCCAGGTTTTTTGGAAGGCTCAAGGCTTGATAGCCATCTACAACTGAGGATCTCTCGTTTGTCCTTTGAAATTCCGGGGACTATTCAATTCAGCCCATACAACTTGAAAGTTTCTTAAACTTATTTTTCTGTTCAAGTGTTTGAAAGATTTTGACTGCGATATTCTATTGCTCTAGGAGTTATTATTGAGTCTTCGAGAATATGAGCAATATAATGGAATGCTTGGTTGTCTTTCTACTTTTTTGGTTTAATCAGCTAGTCTACGGACAGTCAAGTGAATTGGATGGCATTTTACTTAATTCAAGCATTATCATGCATGATGCAGAAATTGAGAGTTCCTTGTTTTTGGTCCGACTCTCTCTACGTCCTCGGAACTTATATGGGCCTCGCATCTTATAGCCTGGTTCCTGCCTATTGGCTATCGCATCCCAAGCCACATCTAGGAAACTTGCCAAGCTAGTGTAAACTGTCTACCTTCATTGATTGGGAAGGAATTTGAGAAGCATGATGCAAGTCCCATAGATTTGAATGGGGCCTTTCTAGTGATGGGATCTCAACGCAAGAAAAATGTGATGCCAAGTCCAATCCAAAGAAATATTCACAAGCCCAGTTGGACTCCAATCTACCAAAATTCAGATTCAGATAGCATACTGACAGCACGTCAGCTTCAATCAGTCATATCCTGCCTGCCTGCTTGAGAGCTTTGCAGTCCCGACGTAACATTCCGAAGGGAGAAAATGAACCACGGAATAAGAGAGAGAGAGAGAGCGAGAGAGAGACAGCGGTAGTGGTGATTTTACTTGAAACGCAAGGCGAGAGTACAGGTTTAAGTCACATCATGGGGTTTCTGTCTATTCTTTTTCCCCTCGATGATTCAATTTCATGAGGTGCGTGAATGTTCAAGCTAAATGGGTCAGGTTTAATTCAACAAAATATTCCCCGATGGCAGAGAAGAATACAAGATCGCTCGAGATGGAGACCAAGGTCAGAAAAGAGGTAAAGAAAATAATTATATAATGCCTCTAAATCTTTCTTCATTCGGCATAATGTCTGGGAGAGCTTATGCTTTCTTGCAATGTCACAAGAGTGATGATGAAGAGGATGGGTCCCTTCGTCTTTTTGAAAATGTCTTACATGCAAAAGAGGAATCACCATATTTTTCACTATGATGTCCTCCACCACTTCACGACATTGATCATGTGTGCTTGTATAGGCTCAGTCTCTCAACTACTAAAATCGCAGCACATATGCCTATTGCTTTCGGTTCCAGCCGCTTACATCTCTTTTCTTAGGATTTTTAGTTCTTTTCTTAGTTTTTTTCATTCTGGTGTATTGGACCAGGCAGGCTTTATGTCTTTTACCAGACATGGTGATTGCCTTGTTGACGAAATTCCTTAATTCATGGTACTTCCGAATGCTCTCTCTCTCTCTCTCTCTCTCTCTCTCTCTCTCTCTCTCTCTCTCTCTCTCTCTCTCTCTCTCTCTCTCATATCTTTTTCAGCTTTCATGCAAGTCACTATAGTATAGCCTTTACCCAAGGACCTTATTCTATTGTCAAGAATATTCTTTTCTTGATGGTAACTCTCCTTTCCTTGCGTGTTAAATCAAGATTTTGTTCCGGCTTCAATGCCTTAGAAATAAATAAAAAAATTTTGATTAATATAATACAGATAGCACTAGTGTTAGTCGCAAAAGCATATACACGCATATTGGAATCTCTATTGTCTTGGCAACTAGTAGGTTTCTTTCTTTTCTTCACTACAACGTATCTAATCAAACTCTTGACTCGATGATAAAATTCGGGGGAATAACTACGCAATGTCATTATAACGAAAGTACAAATAATCTTGACAAAACACTACATTCTCACTTTATCCTACTATTGAAGGAAAATGATAGTAGTCCCTTTTTGACAATGAATTAAATAATTACATGTTAGAAACATTTTAACATTGATTGTACAAAGGTTGATTAATTGCAATTTCATGATATTCTCCTTTTGACAAACCAAAATTCAGTTTTCAGCTATAGATGCGAGAGGTAGTTCGTATCGCATTTTATTTTATGAATAATTTGGTACGTTTTCTTGTTTAATGTCTATGCCAGAACAGAATTCTATACGAGACTCTTGTAATGGGACATTGTCCAAAGCCATTGCCTAGCATGTTCTTCTCCCATATTATAGATGTCCAATCTATTATCTGACCAGAAATGTCCCTGCTTCTTTCATGTTCATGGCTCTAAAATAACCCATGGCTATTAAATTACTATTATTTTCCGTACAAAAATAAGCTCATTGGGGAGCAGATTTTGCTCTCTTTTCTTTTCAGGTTATGCTCTGTCTAGCAGCTTTTCTCTTTTCTTTCTTCTTCTTCTTTATTTGGTAGGGAATAATCATGGAGTTATGGTTGGATATTGCTATCTTACATTATTACCATAAAGTGGGTATGTTGGATATAGATTTGATTGCGCATTATTGCCATCATGCAGTCATTTAACGGAAGAAGTTAACGTCTAATTAAGTTTATCCACCAAACCCGTGTGTATTTCAACTCTATAATCATGTCAAAGGGTGTATAATGCGTGTGATTAAGAAATCTAAGACAATCTCACCCTCCCAACCAAGAGAAATATGGATATGTGGCTTAGTGAGTTGGGACCTTGGAGGATTTTCTGAAACCAGAATAACCAGAGACACTGCTTAAGAAGCACTGCTTTTGGACTCCCCGGACAGGAAGGTCCATTCCTTGTCACTTGTTTTGAGTCTCCACCCCAGACAAGGTATAGTATCCATTAAGTTAAGCATCAAAGAACATGCAACATCACAACATAACAAAACAAGAAAAGGGAAAGGACTATCATTTAACTTTGTCTTTACTTTTTCCACTTGGGTATAAAGGTAGCTCGGAAGATCTGCGCTCTAGACCTTGCATTCAGAAGTTGTGTCTTGGTTTTGGATGGCTTCATAGAAGCTAAAGCTTTTAGGAGCAGAAGGCTAGCAAGGATGCTCCTACTTCCCAATCATTTCCAGGATCCAGATAGGATTTTTTAAGACCACCTCCATACAAGGTTAGTTGATACATGCATATCATTGTACGTCATTACCACACATCGGTGTTTTACTGATAGAGAAACTAAGGACACAGCCACTAAAACTGAGTAAGCTATTTCTCCTCAATCTAAGATAGTAGTTTATGAATATCTACCTCAAAATGCATAAGTTTGAATGAAGTGCCTTCTGAGTGCACTTTTCTGTGACACAAGTCATTTAGTTCCAAACCTGGTGAAATACTCATGGTCGCAATGTTTGAAATGATGTGCTGTTATATTCGGCATTTCTTATTACTTTGCTTTAAGTTTGTGTTGCCTTTCTGCTAAAGTAAATTCAATTCACCTAAGGAAGTATGTAATGAGTTTTGTCTCACCTCATTTGCCACCGCTCTTCTTCCTGAGCCGCCATGATAAGTGCAAGTCAATTAACTTCGGCAATATAGGCCGCGTCTCTGTTATATACTAAATCTAAGTTATTTTGGAAATCCATTTAAATTCCTTGTCAAAATATCCATGCCACGTTCATGGAGATGGATCGTTGTTATCTTCTCCTTTCTTTTTGCTCTTTCAAGGTTCATTTACAATCCAGCATTCTTCCCCTTCTTTCATACCTTTCCAAGTGATTATTTAATAGGTTATCAATTCAAATAGCTTTGAGTGGAGAGCATGTGATAGTAGTTCGAAATTCAAAGAATTTTGAGTTCACAGCATGCCCGTGCACTTGTGGGATGATCCATGATATTCTTATCTTTGCTTGAATTTTTGTGCAGGGATTAAGGAATCAGCAGATAGAATTTTCAGAGGATTCAGTAGATAGAGCTATCTGGACATATCGAGAGATGAACATGATCATTGGAAACAATTAAAATCGCCTCTTTGTCTGGAAAAGAACATAAACTGCCAAGAAAGAAACATCAAGAAAAGAGAGCGTTTCCTGGACAACCATGAATGGATTTGATTCTGAAAGACCAAAGCCATGGAACATGTATACCAATTCAGATCCAAGCTCATCCCAAGCAACACTGGATAGGGAAGCTCCATGGAAGAGCTTTGGAGCATCAATGAATGCCATATCTTTCGGATTTGTTGCCACAGCAATTTTGATATCCTTGTTCCTTGTTATGGCTATCTTTGAACATCTGTTCGGACCCAGTCCCTCTTTCACTTCACCTGAACCCATGAACAATAGTTCTCTGGAAGCAGGAGAGACAGAGAAGCTCCGCAATCCGCAGCTAGTAAGTTTCACCTTCATTTTATCCATAAAATTCCCTTTATAATCGCCTTTTACAATCTAATGGACTAGCGAGACCTTTTCAAGATCCTTCACAGGGATCTTGTGAATTCACAGTTCGAGTTTCATCCTTTTGATGCCAAATTGGCCCAAGAGCTTCTCGTTGAACTCGCTCATAGAAGAATATAATCACAGAAATCACCATTTCGATACTTCATTTCTGCATTTTAGCTTCTGTTTATCCTTCCTCATGTGGGCATTACTTCATCCATACCCAATGAAGAGTCAGTCAATATGGGGAAGCTAACGTGATTCCCTAGGACAAGCTAACGTGTCGTCTGGGATAGGGCCTTATTTGCTAAGGACCGCTACTGGAAGAGAACCATAAAGATGCGTAAGAGACTGATAAAAAGAATCAAGATCGAGTTCCTTTGGACTGATCTTAGCTTGATACATTGCACATAGTGTGGCCACCATGTTGAGCTTTCTGAAACTGATCAAGATTTTCACTTTGTAAAACAGGTGTCTACGTCCTATGCTTCAGACATCCCGGTACTAATGCCGGCACAGCATTGTCCTACCTACATTGCTCAACCTGCTCCTCTTCCCTGTCCAAGAGAAGGATTCTACCGGCCTTACCATGAAGACAAATTTTCTTTTGAGAGTATAAAGTTCCCGCGATGAGAGCCATCACTGAATCTACTTGTATATTGATGAGGGCATGAGATCCTCATTTGTGAACCAAATGTTTCACTTTAAACAACACCCCTCACAAAAGAGTAGTTTAGGCTAATGGATACGAACAGGAGATGCGAGGGAAGTTTGGGTTCGTTTTCCAGTCTACAATGTACGATATGATGCACGAATGAAATTGAGCAGTCAAGAGCTTGACAAGACCTGTGACACAAGAGCATGAATTCAATATTGGAAAAGGGCAGCTTTCCCAGGTGGGTTAGTCCATCTCTAAGTGACGACAAAAGGAGCACTACTATTCAACCTTGATCAAGTCCTAATTCTGCACCAAAATGTTGCTTGTTACTGTTTCGTGGCAGACAGTTATATAAAAAGATGCAACGAAATGCCGTGCATCTTACTCACTTGAATGTTATACATTCCCCCAGTGTTAACGAGCGTTAACAACTCTGCTGGAATATGAGCAGTCCGTGGGAAATTGTTGCCTGACCTAAAAAACAGAGAATTAAGTTCGCAAAGAAAGAACTGAACGGAACTGAACTAGTGAGGAGATATGAGTACAAGGCGGCAGGTTCCCATCTTCAACCTTCGGTACTCTCACTTGGGGTGTTCTCAGTATATGTCAAAGAAAGCAGAAAAAGGAACGAGAATAAACAAAATTAATTTTCAACCACCTCAGGTGGTGGTTACACCACGAGTTGCCGAATTATCCTAGAGGGAAGATGCGAATTGCTTATGACACAGCATCAGCTACTAACAATAGTCCGGAGGGTTACAAAAAAGTGGCCATGCATTAATACCCCATACCAAAAAGCCTGCGGTATATTGAGATTCATGGAAATTCAAGTTTCTTCTTAATTTAGGTGAATTGCTTTGCGCTCTCTGCAGAAATTGATTTAAGAATTACTGCATCATCCTAGGAAGCTGAGGTGTTACATGAATACTGATTGGGAAAAGAAATTGCTTGCTTTGGCTTTACACATTTGGATTAAAATGATAACAAGGACACAGCCCGCCCAGCTGAAACATTTCAAGCCCAAAAACCTTCCGAGGCATATTTTACCTTCCGCTCTGCCTCAATTCAGCTATTTGCTTTGGCAGTTTAAATTTTCAGCGTGCGCCACTATAAGTGGATTCCGTCGTCTGCTTAAGACCAGATGAGAACTGCTAGTGGTCCTCGAGTGTTTCTTCTTCTAGTAATACGACAGTCAGCAATGAATACTTCACCCGGAGAGAGATCCTTCCCTTCTCTACCATGAGCCTCGCCCCAGAAACAACCCAATAGCCAGGAGACTCCTCTGGCCCTCTAGTCATCTCTGTGGTGTCGACCAGCTTTAGAAGCTTGGGTGCTTGAACAGGCACTGGCGGTCCACCAGGGTAAACGGCAGAGTTTATATTCACCTCTGCAGGTCTGGGCGGTGGTCTCTGAACTGTGGAGAAGTGATGACTTATTAGTGTTGATATGAGTCCTGACTTGGCTGCTAATCCGGGAGATCCATCCCACTCTGGACGCTTAACTACGGCGGCTCCCAATGCGGTAGCAAAGCGGAGTCGTAAGAAAAGAACGTTTTTCATCCCATAGTTCTCTACCTGCAATTGGGCACCAGTAACAATGGAAAGATCCTCGTCAGACTCAACAGGTGCAGTGCAGACGTGGGAGAAGTTCTTCCACTGGACTTTCTCGTAGTACTTCCTATCATAAGATTCATGGGCGAAGTTGCCATTCGGATCATCCATGAGTTGGAATATTTTTGGGAGAGAGGAAAGGTGCTGCAAATGAATTGCTAGACGGTCGCTTCTTTTACCTTCCAAATAAAGCCTTAGGCCAGTAACAGGCCTCTTACCCACATCAACCTATCATGTAACACAAGGAACAGAGTAAGCTAGAAGATAGGTCATACTTATTATAAAGTAATAATGCTCCTTCGAAGTTCTACATAAATCCACCAAATTATTCTCACTTAGTATATTACTTTCAATAGCTCTTAAGTTTTTCTATGGCCAAATGGGCCAACTGTGCAAAACAAAAACTCCTTCATGCTTTATCCCTTCAATCTAACTAAGAATATGATGCAGGCTAAAAGAAAAATCCTAACGATAAATGACACAATGAGCCAGCATAATGAAAAGAGAATGGATGAGAGATGACTAATAAAACTTTACCGGGGTGGTATTCACGTATAGTTTGGGTCCCATCAAGCTGAAACGCAAAGAACTGGTGCTTTGTCGCTTGCGCTGGGGACCAAGAGGAAGCTCGCTGAACACTGGTGCCCACTGCCTGGGCAGCTGGAATTCCAAAAATTGGTGGAGCTCTCCTATTGGGGGTTTATCTATAAAGTAAGGATAATGGTGATGAGGTAGCTACATATTGACAGCAACAACAGAATCTAAACGAATTCTGTAAACTGCTCGAAATGTCTCATGGAAGTTCAATGAAAGCTTTACAATAGCTTTTCAATGTGTACTAATATATCTTTAGCATCACTGAGGAATATCCATCATATGAGAATACAGTGACAGGTAAAATTATTGCTAACAAAACACAGAGATGCCAATAACCAAATTAATATATGGACAAGGAGAAGAATGACTAACATCTTAAATACAAGTTAATTGCATGGCTCAAAAAGCCACTTCCCGGAACTCCACTCAATAGTGAGGTAATGGGAATGAATGACATCGAGATGACATCAGGCTCCAACTGAACGGTGTTTAACCAATCATTATGAGACAGGTGCTTACTAGCACTCCCTCCTCTCCTCTTACAAATGGTTGCAATGTCCTGCATTTAGCAACCAGGGTAAGTGTTTAAAATGGATTAGCTCACCAGAAACCTTAGCAGATAAATTTAACCTGAACATCAAACAATACCTCCTTGAGTAGATAAGAACTTGATGAACTGGCATCTGCAAACTGTAGCCGCTGCCCCCTGATATCAAACTGAAAAACAAATGGTTAAATAAGACAGCGTTAGTTTTGTTATGTCCATTTTTCAATGACTTTATGAGAGTTGACCCAAAATCAAGTAGCTATAGATCAGAAGATGATTTTCTTCTATTTAAAACATGCAGCTCTTAATGCGATATATCTTAGTAAATAAAACGAAAACTTCAGATAAGAGATGATAATATCAGGGACGAGCCTAAGATCCATCCAGCAGCAAAATAAATAAGAAAGGCCTAAAGATCCATATATGTGAACCATTTAAAAGTGCAATTCTCCATATCTAGCGCTGCAAATGGACACAGCTTTATGAACTATTTTTGCAACTTCACAAACCTTATCATGCTGGTAAACTTGTTCAGAAGCCATATACTGTCCATTAACATCAATAAATCTCTTATCAGCCATTTCCTTCAGCCTCTTCTGTACATCAGCAGGCTGAAGAGTAGATGAATGCTGCTGCTTCACAAATATCACATCCTTCCCTCCCATCTTTATGCCAACAATAATATGGGTCCCAAACATCTCGATGAACCTAGAAGCACATTTAAATTGATTAAATGTTCAAGCTCTATGGAATCACTGATTATACACTGCACCTACTAAAGATAAACATCAGACTACTTCCATTGTCATTGCATTTATCTTGTGAAAAAATCCTACCATTAAAGAATAAGGATATATTTATTCAAACACAAGATGTTGAGAGGTTTCAGGTGACTCAAAGACTTCTTTGGGCGATGACTTATTAAAGACTTGATAATATGCAAATAGAAGTTAATGACTTGAAAAAACACTAGCCGGCTAGCATATGCAGAAAATGGGATTTTGGATCTTCCAATTCAAAATCAGCATATAAAATAGAAATTGTCTGTATCAATATATTGCTCAAAAATACTATGCAGTAAAAACGGAAAAGAGTATAAATGAAGTTCTAAAACAGAGTTCATGACAAGGAACAAATTTGACTATAACTCCGAAGGAGATGGACACAATCTCATGATAAGATTGCAGTCAATAATGCAGTCCACCTTGCCAATGCAGCAGATTCCCATGTCGTCGGGACAGCATTCTTGACATGGTCGCAGAGAACTATCTGAGATTTTTCTAATGCAACAGTATACAGAGTGATGAACACCCCATCAAAGGCAAGGGTCTTAGTGTTCACTGCATCTTTCTGCCAAGATCCCGAAAATTCAAACATCGCATTAAAGAGGCCTGAAGGTATTTTTCCAGTTAAAGACATGTCCTGATTGAACTGCTCAGACATCTGTAAGAGAAAGAAGAAAGACACAATTAAAAGTTGGAGACACATGGGTACATAAAAAAAAAAAAAAAGGGACAGAGCATGCACTGACAAGCATTAGACACATTTTCTTATACATTAACCATTTTTGTGGCTTTGAGTTCTCGAAGTTATGATGATTGGTAGCCCCTTGGCACCTCTACATTGAAATTCTTCTATTTTATTGACCCCAACAAAAGCAAGAAAATTTTCCAATTCAACTAACATTAATAGATCCCGTGGATAAGGAAAAGAAAACGAATGTGATGTTTAAAACATCAAGGAAGCAATAGCCACCAGTGGAAGATACTTCAAAGGAATACTGCATACGTGCCAGAAGAATTCAACAAAAATTAAAAAATGGACCCTGAAGAGAAATCCTAGATTAATCGGGTGCAGCAAACTCCTCTCTATGGCATTTGAACTTGAAGAAACTTAATTACCTAAACCAAGCGTCCACAAGAACGGGAGAGATAAATTTCTAATTAAAATGCATGCGAATTACCAAAATACTAATACGAAAGTTCAGGTTAAGATAAGTAATGCAGCACTGTCTTTTACTCCGCAAACTCCCCAAAAACCCAGATGCATACACCTAAAGAGGAATGGCTACATGATCATGCACACACTGAAGGAGGAACGAGAGAAAACCTTCAGATGGGAAATAAAAAACATTACTAAACACGGTCTATCTCACAGGAAGCAAACTTCTAAGTTTTTTTATGGTTGAAAGAACAGTTATGAAAGGGACAAAGATGAAGAAAATTGTCAGTTAACATAAACTGAGAAAGAACACGAGTAGAAAGAATAATGTCAAGAAGGTACAAACGACATCAAGCAACAACAAATACCTGTTGGAAAGAAAGAACGTCGGACCTGAAACGAGTACGCTCTCCTTTGTCACACTTAATCGATTTAGAGACATTCGGGATCGACAGCCCACCAGGCAGAACAATCTCACGTCCATCATCTTCATCTATTTGAATCAATCGGGAATCTGTCGGATTTCCTTTACAGTACTTCAGCCTTAGATCCTCCGCTACATCATATCCACGTCCAATCGATCCAATGGCTATCTTAGCAGCTACTACAGCTGGAAGCTTCGGAGCCATTGGTCAATGCCACAGAATTATCCAGAAGAACATGTGCGAAGTCTGAAAAAAAACAGTGCAATTCAATCATATTTCCACCCAAAAGCCGGAAGCAAAGAGCGTAGCGGGACGCGCAAAAGAGTTCCACAGAATAAGGAACTTGGGAATTATTATTAAGGACACGGATCCTGTCAATTAAGGAAAGAAATCCGCGATTCTATCCCTCGTGCAGTCAAAGCAAAGAAATGCATGCGGGGATCCAGGCAGCCACGCGGTGTCAGTCACATTGTGCCGAAACCCGCGAAAGATCTAACGTGCATAGTTCAAAGATGTGCATCAGCAGCAATTCAAAGAACCCATAAGGCACCCACAGATTGACGACGCAAACAAGTATCACACAAGGCGTCAGAGATGGAAAATCGTCTCAAAGAAGGGCATTTTGCTCCCGTAAACCAGATCTGAAGAGCCTTAAAAAAAGCCCGGAGGAATACCAAATTCTTAGCTAAAAGGAGGAATCGTCGGGCGCATTCGTCCCGCTCATGCGAATTGCGGCAGCCGCAGAATGAGCTCGCATTGGCGGCGAACACATTGGGCTCAAACCACGCCTCCCTCGAGCTTGGATTGATCCACCACACTGTAGCAAAAGAGTGCAATATTCGACGGGTACAGGTGCCAAACCATTAAAAGGAAAAAACCAAGAGAGAAACCCTAGCTGAAAGAGAGAGAGAGAGAGAGAGAGAGAGAGAGAGCTGGGTCTAGTCTTGGGGAGTGTTGACGAATTTGGAGAGTGATTTCGGTTTGACCACCATTGAATATTTGGGAGAGAGAGAGAGAGAGAGAATTGATGTGGGGGGAGGGCATGTGGACTAAGACAGTAGTTACTTAGGCCGGTTTGGTTTAGTATTTAGCCTAACATTGGCCAAATGCCGGCCACCTGGGTCGCGCGACCCTCGCTGAGGGTCGCTTGACCTCGGGCGACAGTCGCCGCCGGCAGATCTGGTTCGCTGGTGGTCGCTTGACCTCGGACAATGGCCGCCGGCGCTAGATCTAGCTCACCGGCAGCCGTCAACCTTCACCGGAAAGCTGGCTCCGGCAAAGGGTAATTTCGATTTTTTTTAAATAAAAAAATAATTCTCAAAGCCCTTTTGCAAAAAAAAATTTACCTAACACTACTTAAGCCCAAAGTAGCTTTACAAATGATTTTTTACCAAACGTCGCTTCCATTTCGTCAAAGGGCTTTATCCTAAAAGGTATTTGCATTCTTCCAAGTAGCATTTCAAAAGCCGAACCAAACGGATCCTTATTGAGAGAGAGAGAGAGAGAATTGACGTGGGGGGAGGGCATGTGGATTAAGACAGTAGTTATTTATTGTGTGTGTGTGAGAGAGAGAGAGAGAGAGAGAGAGAGAGAGAATTGATGTTGGGGGAGGGCATGTGGATTAAGACAGTAGTTACTTATTGAGAGAGAGAGAGTTGACGTGGGGGGAGGGCATGTGGATTAAGACAGTAGTTGCTTATTGTGAGAGAGAGAGAGAGAATTGATGTTGGGGGAGGGCATGTGGATTAAGACAGTAATTACTTATTGAGAGAGAGAGAGAATTGATGTGGGGGGGAGGGCATGTGGATTAAGACAGTAGCGAGTTAATAAGTAAGCCGCGAGGACAGGAGACGGCCTGCAACTGCGAGGTCAAAAAAGTAACAAGTCGGGATACTCTCACCGGCCGCCTCGCTTTACGGTATAAGACGGGCCAATCCAGGATTAGATGGTTGGTAGTTGTTTCGTTTTGCTGCCGATAGCTTTCCTTAACGGTGGAATTTAGGATACGACGAGTAGATGGTTCCCCACGGAAACAGAGGTGAATTGAAGTTGATCCCATTTTTCTCGGAATGGGAAGTGCATCGCTCCAAATTTTTTCGATATCCCTTAAGTACTCCGCTAAAATAAAAATCATGAGTAAAATAAGAATCGAAGTAAAATCTAGGTCATTGAAACAAATATGTTATGCCGTTTGATTACTAGTACTACCATTGTAATGATTCACTTCCTAAAGGAGCAAGACATGGTACATTAGGGGATAGATGGTACATTTGGACTAAGTGCAAGGTGCTTGAATTATCTACCCGTTCTGAAACGGCGAATATAAGTTGTGCAGAGCAATACAAAGGGTCCAAATCCAATGTCAAGCCTATGAAGATTTGTACTTTTATCACTTTCTATGTCCAGCACAAGTGCCATTAATCGAAATATTCACAGTGGTTTGTGGATTTGTAGGCTGTCTAGTGCGTGTTTTTTGCCACATTACAAAGGAGGAAGCATCGTCCGGCTATCCAAATGAATACTAAGAACATAAGCAACTCAAAGATCAGGTGCTTTAGGTTGTTTCCGCTTGTTGGCTGGATGCTGTTCATGACTTTCTTATTGGCAGACAGATTGCAAATTTGATGCAAGAGCTTCAATGGGCCATGAAACATCTGAAGGGGAACGCAATCCATGTTTTGATACTTGAAAAGTAGCATGGCTACCTCCTGTCTAGTATTTACTTCACTCGAAAAGAGGCAAGGAACGCCAATATTTGAGTAATTTTGGCATTAAGTCGTGGTAGGAACTGGGAAGAACATGAGTTCTTGCATCACCGCCGTGTCACGAGCTGTACAAATTGTTGCCACCTCCCCGTTATGGAGGAAGAATCAAAGCTTCTGACAGACAGCATTGCAGTAGTGAGCCTTAAAATAAAACTGATGATTTGCATGATTTTCCAAACTGTGAACGTGTCTGTCACATGCCTTCCCGTTGCTTGTTCGCTGCAGTTTCCAGGGTTCCCACGCATGCCTGAATTTTCTAATGCGTGCATCCCTCCTTCCCACTGTTGAGACCACATTGTACATGCTTCTTGGTTGGGATGAGGACCAGAATCCACATCTGCAGTACGAAAGAACCGACCAAAATCTACCAAGTGAAGACCCGTTTTCACTTCACACACTTGGAGCCACACCTTTCAACTATAAGTCATAGTGAAAGTGATCTCCTTTTGTCAGGAACCAAGAGAGCGCCGAGCCAGAACAAAGAGATGGGCTCCTCAAATTTGACTCCGCTGTCCATATGGTGGACTTCTCACCTCCACCAGCATTTCCACCACTAGCTTCCAGTTCCATGTCTCCATCTCCAGACCTACCCACGTTGCTCATCATCAATCATTTTCTCCTTTTCGTTTTTCTTTTAAATGTCTCCTGCATTTTGTAGCTCTCTTATGTCCCCATCCCTCCATGGCCCCATTCTGTCATAACCCTTTTGCCTCTAGTCATGTCCTTTCGTTAGCTTAGCTGCTCCCATCTCAATCCGAGCTCCTCCACCTTTCATCTCCGATCCAGAGTTTTCATATTCCATACCTGAAAAAGCGAGGATGAACAGTTACTCCAAGATGAAAGCTTTCGGAACCCACAAGTCGAGATCTGTGGACTTCTCAGAGCTGTTGCCATCATTTCCTGCTCAAACTCCAAAACCCGTCGCGAAGGCGGGCGTCGAGGAAGCAAGACCCGAAGACAGTTCTTGCTCAGAGAAAGAGAAGGATGACTACTCAGATGGAGAAAGATTCGGGGTGATCCTCGGTAGAAGCAGCTCGGTCTCCACCGCTTCCGACAGATTCAGGTTCGACAGGCAGAAGAATGCTGGGATTGTGAAGAGAGTGTTTTCCATGAGAAGATCTTCTTCAGTCTCCGAGAGGTATTGTCGGATACATGACCAATCTGTGACATTGTCATCGCAGGTGGATGACGAGGAAGGCAGTATGGAGGGAATGGGATCTGCCAAGAAGAAGAAGAACAGGGGAGTCAATATCTTTAAAGCCTGCAAGCGGCTTCTGGGACTCTAAGGTTATTTATCTGGACGCGATGAATGTGCAACTTTTCTTTAAGTCCCTAGCGTGTATTAAGACTTAGAGGCTCTTTGTCCTCCTAGTTCAGCTGATGAGGCAGACCAATGGTTTTGCTGCTTCAGTGTCTTGCTGCATCCCCAAGACCGCATGCTCTAAGTCTGCACTATCATCATAAACTGTTCGTTTCGGCAGTTACTAGTGTATTTCACTATGCAAAATAGTGAATTTACGAGGGTATTTCATTTTGCAAACCTCAAGGCTGAATCAAGTTTCTCCGAGATATCACATAAAGATGTTGAGCAATATACATGTTTCGTTGTTTGGCCATTTCGCTTGTGCTCTCCGTTCTTGCGACTTGTTCTTTCTTCAGAAAACGGAAAGGCCCCAAGATATAGCAGAACCATCTCTACTTAATGATCGATAGTTTTCCAAATTAAAAGGGACAATGCGGAATAATGTGGACAAATGCTACATAGTCAACTTCAGCTATAAAATGGCATCACTTTTGAAATTGAGTCGGCTTAAAAGACAGAGACCAAGTCTTTACCTCCTGGAATTTTGTGCACGGAAAAATTGCCGACGGCCATATCAGTTGGATTTTGTGTTTTGTCAGCCATCGGATTTACAGCTCGTCAATGTCGAGTGTTGAATTTGAGAACGGCAAATCTACCTAGGTTTTACTCACAGCATCATAGACTCCCCGAGAAGATGACATAGGAAGACTTTTCCTCGACAGAACAGAACATCCTTGCAATGCCGATCCTTGACCTAGAACATTCTACAAGACATCATGAGATGTCATGGGGCATGTTAAGTTGTTACTAAAATATTGCATGACATAAACCGGGTTAATCATCAAACACAACATGCAAACACAAATTGCCAGCACTTAGCATTAGCATCATGCTATTTTAATAGTGAAGAGAGTTAAAGCTCCATCGTTAGGGATATTGCAGCAGTAGGACCATCCTAAAGCCCGCAGCCACATAGGTCGCTGCAAGTATCATGCTATACAGGGAAGCAATATCCAGCACAACTTGGAGGGCTACTTAACTCGCACACATGGAATCCCACACGAAATCTAGCGCCAGACTGACGCACTCACACACAATCTGGCAAAAGTATCCCAAAATCAATGAACAATTTCCAATAGCCGGTCAAAGATGGGAGGATTGCCAAAATTGGTTTCTATTGAAAGAACAGAAACAAAACAATAATAGAGTAGCAGATTGGTATCCGCATGAAGTCTCCACCACAAAATATGGACATTTCCAAGTATAAATCTAGTGTTGGGCCTGATCATCACACAAGTTCACTTTGATAACCATAGATAGATATTCCCCGCATTCTCTTCCTAAGACCGGGTGCTCTCTTTTTTACCAACATAGTGAGAACAGAGTGGGAACAATATTCGCCAGTTAAGCCGACCTCCATAAGCTCATTTCTCGCGAGATGATCAATCATGATGACAGGCAGCCAAAAAATCCCTACCCACAATCCTCGGCTCACTTGCTATCAGTGAAGTCGGCATCTATGACGTCTCCCTCTGGACCCTTGTCATTCGATGAAGAATCGGTAGGCCCAGCTGAGGGGCCACCAGCACCAGGTGCACCACCTGCACCAGGTGCACCTGGTTGGTTATAGAGGGACTGACCCAGCTGCATAACCTCCTGATTAAGAGCAGCCATGGCGTCCTTCATGACTTGTGTTGAACCACCAGAGATTGCTTCCTTCAGCTCTCCAAGTTTAGCCTCCACCTTCTCCTTCACTGCAGCAGGAACCTTGTCGCCAAGCTCCTTCAACTGCTTCTCTGTCTGGTAGACAACAGAATCCGCCTGGTTCTTTGTGTCTATGGCGTCTCGCTTCTCCTTGTCTTCCTTGGCAAATTTCTCTGCTTCCTGAACCATCCTCTCAACCTGAATTGTCCAGTAAAAGATGATTAGTTTATTCCCAGGGAACACACACCTCCCCAAAATACGAAATAAAGAAACACTTTCTTTCTCTCAGCATTTATATGTCAGAAAATTCTTGCAGGAAATTCACCACTCTTAAGAAATCATACAGCCCCAACTAATTGATTATTGAGAAAGATGTGTACCTCATCACTGGGCAAAGTGCTAGCACCCGTGATTGTGATGTCTTGCTTCTTTCCAGTGCCCTTATCCACAGCAGTTACGGAGAGGATACCATTAGCATCAATATCGAATTTCACTTCAATCTGCGGAACACCACGTGGAGCAGGTGGGATGCCATCGAGTCGGAAACTGCCAAGGGATTTGTTGTCTCTCACAAACTCCCTCTCACCTTGAAGGACATTAATCTCAACACTGGTTTGACCGTCAGCAGCAGTTGAAAACACTTCCGATTTTGAGGTCGGCAAGGTTGTATTTCTTGGGATGATTTTAGTCATAACACCACCGAGAGTTTCCAAACCCAGAGATAATGGTATCACATCTAAAAGCACAATATCACTCACATCTCCAGCCAAGACACCAGCCTAAAAACGAAGATGGCAGATATAAGAATACTAGAATATTGGGAAAAAACATAGAGCAAATACACCCCAGCTCCTTCCATCGAGAAAGAGGCATGAACAAGAAGCAAAAAAAAAACAAGCACCTGAACAGCTGCTCCCAAGGCAACAACTTCATCGGGGTTGACTGTAACATTGGGAGCCTTCCCAGTCAGCTTTTTCACAAGCTCTTGAACGGCTGGAATACGTGTTGAACCACCAACAAGGATAACCTCATCTAAATCTTTAAAGGTGAGTTTTGCATCCCTCAAGGAATTTTCAACAGGGGTCCTAAGCCTACAGGATGCAACGAGATCAATTAGATCACTAAGCTACAGGTAAATGACCTTTATCATGAAAACAACAAGCACAATGAAATCACAATAGCAGCCATCGTTGCAAAAAAAAGATATTTTTGTAAGAGACACAGTCAATGAGAAGTTGAAATAACAGCAGGCATTGGTAAAAGGAGATTTCGACCAAAAACAAAAAAAGTAAAAGGAGATGCAAGAAATTACCTGTCCAACAAATCTGAACACAGCTCCTCGAATTTAGCCCTTGTGAGTGTGGTTTCAATGTGCTTTGGACCATCCGCAGTGGCTGTAATGAAAGGCAAACTGTAGAAAACAGCAATGTGTGAGAAACAAAACCAAAGATACGGGGAAAAGAGACGAAAGGGAACCGAAAGAAGGAAAGAAAGGGGGAAGGAGAATCGCATTCAAGTTACATCACCTAATATTAGTTTGTGTCAGAGATGAGAGTTCCATTTTAGCTTTCTCAGCTGTCTCGGTCAACCTCTGTAGAGCTTGTTTGTCCTTCAAGAGGTCTATGCCTTCATCTTTCTTGAAGCTGGCAGCAAGCCAATCAACAACCCTCTACATAGAAAATGAGATTTTCAGAACTCCCTCATTGTTCCTAAAAGTCAACTGAAATGATGATGAGGAGAACGAAAGCACACTTATTTGGACACCAAGATACCAACCTTGTCAAAGTCATCACCGCCCAAATGTGTGTCTCCTGATGTGGAGAGCACTTCAAACACTCCGTCACCAACCTCGAGCACTGAGACAAAAAGAATGGATAGATAAATGAAAGATAGATGATTTTCAATAGCAAATGCAAAATAATATTTGTAGTCCTGTTCTCACATCTTTTTACACACATATTACGTCAGTCCCAGAAGAATGCCAGTTACATGATCCCAAGGAAGTCATATTATATATCATGAACATGTCAATGGGGCTTACAAGCAGAATTCAAGTTCATTGGAAGCAGTACTACCTGAGACATCAAAAGTACCACCTCCAAGGTCAAATACCAGGATAGTCTCATTGCTCTTCTTCTCAAATCCATAAGCCAAGGACGCAGCAGTAGGTTCATTGATTATGCGAAGAACTTCCAAGCCAGCAATACGACCAGCATCCTTAGTAGCTGTCCTCTGCGAATCATTGAAGTAAGCTGGAACGGTCACCACTGCTTTGGTCACCTTGTCATTCAAGAACTTGGACGCATCATCCACAAGCTTCCTCAGCACCTGCATTCGATAATATGAGGAGCATGTCTTCCCGCAGCAAAGTAGAACTACTACGAAACTGATAAACATGCCAAAAGCAAATTCTGATTTCAGGCTATTCCGCATACTAGTGTCTCTTTGGTTTCCAAGTCGATTGCACATGAACTAAAGGCAAGAAATTTACATTGTTATAGAGCTTACATGCCACAGATTGAATCACAATACCCAAATTAGTGCCTACATTTATCCAGTAGCCACAAGCATGACTAAGCAACACAGATTCACAGGCGAAGCATCATGTGATAACTGAGCTGAAATAAATCTGTCGCAAGGTTAAATCATACCAATCGTACAAAAAATTGCACGTTTAAAATAGGACGGCTATATCGTGAAATGATACCTGAGCTGAAATCTCCTCAGCCGCGAACTGCTTGCCAATGGCGGGGCAGTCCAACTTGACATTCCCATTCTCATCCCTCACCACCCTGTAAGACACCTGCTTCGACTCCTCATCCACTTCGGACATCTTCCTCCCGATAAATCTCTTCACCGAGAAGAAGGTGTTCTCGGGATTGACGACGGCCTGCCGCTTCGCAATCTGCCCCACGAGCCTGTCCCCATTCTTGGTGTAAGCAACGACGGAGGGAGTGGTCCTCTGCCCCTCGGCGTTGGTGACGATGGTGGGCTTCCCTCCCTCCATGGCGGCGACGGCGGAATTGGTGGTCCCCAGGTCGATGCCGACGACCTTCTCGCTGACGACTCTGAGGGGACCCACGTGGTGCCTCCTCCGGGAAGCGCCCCGGGAGTTCAATTTCAGGAAAGAAGCGGAGGTCCTGGAGTGGAGGGATTGGCCGAAGAAGAGGGACTGGGAGGGGCCGCCGGATTTGGGGGCTTTCGAGGCGGAGGAGGTGCGGCCGGCGAGGCCGAGGGAGTGGACCTGCGCAGCGCAAGAAGCCATTTCTGATTCGCCGGAGGCGGCGGCGATAGAACCGATGCGGCTGCGTCTGAGGGAGGGGGGCGGCGGCGAAGAAACGACGGGGAGGAGGAGGGCCTCCGCACCCACCAAACACTCTCGCGCTTCTCTGGGAGGAGTTTTGGGGGAAACAAGTTAAGGAGGAGCAGAAGATAAGGGGGGATTGGGGGGGGGGGGGGGGGAGGAAGGAAGAGGAGCGAGGGTTTATGAGGAGGAGTAGAGGGTTAGGTGGTGCCACGTGTCGCCATTCTAGAACCATCCCGCGTGCCCCGACCCGGGTGAGATGGGCTTTGCCGAACCGAGCGGGCATCAAGGGCTGCCCTCGAGCCCGACCCGACAAGCCCAATGGGCCCGAGGATTGGCGTTGAGCTTGGACCTTCATTCTCAAGTTGTTCTTCGGGTCGGTCCATCATGGGTTGGCAGCAGTTGCCAGTTAGTAACGAGAGAAAATGGAACAAACGGTCTCCTAAACTTTTAATTCGTTCAATATGATTTTTAAATTTTTTGTACATGTTTAATGTAGTTTTTGAATTATATGAAAATGTTCATTACATTGCACGAGAGGAGATAGAAGCAACCATCTAGTTTCTCTGCAGTCATCTGCATATGGTTCACAGGGTCATTTTCGCACAGCTACCCACGTAAGTCTTATTTTATGGGGGATGAAGACTGAGGGCTGACTAAATGGCACAAGTGAAGAAGACTAGCGACCCGAAACAAAGGTATCTTCTGTTTTTCAATCCCACATGATTAGCGATACAATGTTGCGTCCCCCCACCATCAGCTTCAATAACCAAAGTTGCATTGTCTTTTTGCTGTTCCAAACGCTCTTTGATGGCGGTTCGTGGGCATAGTTAGATTATCTACTCGCCTGTGGAGACCACCCTCGACGGGCGGGTCCATGTGCTATGCCTCTCTCATCTTGCCTTATACGTAGGTTCCACCGCTTCATATATGGTGATTCTCATGAGCTGTCTGTGCTCGCTCATCACCCCCCCTTCGCACACCATCACTGCGTTATCGGGTAACCGAGTCTTCATGTGCTCAAAATGCAAATGCCACCGCCCCTGGTGGCCATTTTGCCGCCGCCGAATCCTCATGATCACCATCGCCATAACAATTACGGTCTCCATAACTGCCACCGCCACTCTCACCGCAAGGGCGGTACTACGTCCGCACAAACCCAAGATCACCCTCCAAGACATCACCGTTTCCTCGCTCAATGTCTCCGTTACCGCTGATAACCAAACCTATCTCCTGAGCTCCACCTTCCAGCTCACTGTCTGCTCTCGCAACCCTTCTGGCAACCCCCGCTCCATCCGGTATGATGACCTTCACGTCCACGTGTCTTACCAAGACCAGCAGATCACGCTCGCGACACGCCTGCCTCCGACATATCAGGGTCGTGGAGGCGTCGATGTGTGGTCGCCATTTGTGTATGGGGTTTCCGTGCCCATCGCTCCATACAACGCCCTCGCGTTGAACCAGGACATGAGCAACGGATTTGTCATGATGAAGGTGAAGCTCGAAGGACACGTGAGTTGGAGGCCCGGGATATTCACAGCCAGAGGCTTCATTTCAGTGGATTGCCCTGCATATATCAGCACAGGGAGTGAAAACAAAGGAGTACCACTTGGTATTAATGCAGTTAAGTATCGGCTGATGCAGAGGTGTGGTGTTAGCCTGTGAAAGAAAAGGACAAGCACAAGTTTTATGCCAAATCGATTCCTGTTCTCGTTATTAAGTTAACCTTGTTGTCTGAAATTGTCGGATGGCCAGAATGCACATGTAACGCTACCTATCGTCACCTTTGTTGCTAATTTGCTTGCGCATAATAAACATCCGTCTCTCGCATTCATCTATCACTATCACGACTACTGACAAGACCACCTTTGAGATTTTCAAAGGACTTTATCATTATATCTGGATTGTCTGCAACATTAAACAGGACTTTATTTCATCATATCTTTTCAGTCGCGATTAGTCACTAACTACACAGGCCTTTATTTCATTATAACTAGAGAGTCCGCAACATTAAACTTTATTCCACCAACAATTACTATGGATGAAGCACATCGAAAAGTGATCTGCAAAACCTTTTCGACCAAGGCCAAGAAAATTCCTCACTTTGCCTTAAATAAATCTAAAAGTAAACTCGTCATATTGGAATGCCCATTGAGATCGCATCTGAAGCTCAACCACTTTTTTCTGTGAATTGATTCTTTGGAAGTGCCCTCCACCCAATGTCATGTCGGCAGAAGCCTCCTGGCCAGTTGATGGTTTCAACTGCTTGGTAAGCTCTTTGACGTGCTTCTTCCAAATTCCTCCCCTTGGCAGTGACCCCAAGAGCACGGCCTCGACCAGCAACAAAGTTACCATCTGAGTCGAAAGTTGTTCCAGCATGGAGTATCTTGACAGATGGAGCGACAGCTTCTGCTGCTTCAAGATTCCGAATTACAGTTCCGCTTGCAGAGGCGACTGGATAGCCCTTACTTGCCATGACCACTACCATAGCAAATTCAGGCGCCCACTCAAGTGTCAGTCCTCTTAACTCTCCCTTACAAGCTGCCAGCAGGACTTGAGTCAGATCCGATTCCAAACGAGCCATCAATACCTATACGTAAAAGAGGTAATATAATGGAAAAATGGATGGACAAGCGCAACGGCACAAAAAGAAAGGGGAACAGAAGGCAGTGCAACATAACTAGTATAAGCACTGAGTAAGTGTCCAAATTATTTTGTTGAACAACTAACTCATCATAATGTCGTGTTGAATTATAGCAGGGATGTGTGTGGGGCGGTACCAATGCTAGGAATGGTGGCCATATATAGGTCTAGGAAGGACTGAATTTGAAAAAAAAAAATTATCGATTAAAACCTTGGAAGAAAAAGATCGGCTAACTATTGATCTGCAGGTTAAGTACATACCAAACAAAAATTATTGTGTGGCACAACCAACTCCTCACCACGGGGTTGAGGAAGCCCACTGATGAGGACAATTGAATTTGTAAAAGAAGACGAATAAACAAACAAATAAACATTACAAGCACTGATGGAAAAAAATCAGACTACCTATTGATGTATGCATACTTGCACATGACAATGAGAGAATTTGGTAAGGGCAACCATAGCCACTACTCAGCACTGAAACCAGGAATTATGTAAAACAAAGAATCCGGCTTGAGGTTAAAGTAAATGGAAAGATTGGCTGATCACACAAAATCAGCGAAATTACAATGATGCTTAATCATGAAGATGACCATGCTAATTGAGTGTGTGCGTGTGATGATTAACAAACCTGACACTCCGGATCTCCAAAGCGCACATTGCACTCAATCATTTTAGGCAACCCAGACTTTTTCTCAATCATGAGTCCTGCATAGAGAACGCCAACAAACTTGCGACCTTCCACCGCCATCCCTTTGACAATAGGGAGAATGATAGACTCCATGACAAAAGACTGCAGCTCTAGAGTTAAGATCGGCGCTGGAGAGTAAGCACCCATCCCGCCAGTATTAGGTCCTGTATCACCATCCCCAACTCGTTTATGGTCTTGAGAAGTTTCCATAGCTATGGCATTCTCTCCATCAACCAGGGCATGAAAAGAAGCTTCCTCTCCTTCAAGATATTCCTCAACGATGACCTTGGAACCTGCAGAACCAAAACCCCCCATAACCAATATCAAGTCAATTGCTTCATATGCCTCCTCCAACGTCATGGCAACAATAGCTCCCTTTCCATCAGCCAATCCATCTGCTTTTACGACAATCGGTGCCCCTTCCTCATTAATGTATTTCTTTGCTGCAGATGGGTCAGTAAACGTTTTATACTGCGCCCATAATTCAGAAACTTTGTTAGCTATTGGTCCTTTCCCTTCAAAATGCGTGAGTAATGCAAGGAGATGTCTCGGCTAAGAACATAGCCAAAGCAGAAAGAGGTTGGTAATCAGAGCACACTTGACCTCATTTGGTCCAATGCTTTAAGGCATATAAAAAAATCAGCACATATCATCAGGCATAAACTAATTGTGGCCTTCCTTAAACACTGAAAAATTATCTATAATTCCCAGTTATTAAAATTTAGAATAACAAACAGAGAGAAGTAGCTAACGTGCACATCTCCTTAAAGTTTCATACTACAAGAAAAAACCGAGAGAAGTAGCTAATGTGCGCATATCTTTAGATTTTCATGCTACATTGTAAAAAATGAAAACAACCTTGGCTGTGGGAATGTTGTACTTGTTACACAAGCTTTTCATGAAATCCTTAGAACCTTCCAGTGCAGCAGCTTCTACTGTGGGGCCAAAGGTAAGAATTCCAGCCTTAACTAAATCATTCGTCAGACCAGCAACAAGACGAGCCTCTGGTCCAACCACAACAAGTCCGACTCCCCACTTGCGGCAGAAAGAAATTACAGCTGAACTGTCGGCAATATTAAGGTCTGAGACACAAGTGGCATCTCCAGCTTTAGAAATACCGGCATTTCCAGGTGCACAGAAGACTGCACTAGATGATGGAGATCGTTGCAAGGCACAACAAAGTGCATGTTCCCTTGCTCCTTCACCAATGACCAGCACTACCACTCTCTCTTGTGTAAAGACAACAGGTAGAAGGAAATAGATGAGCAAAAGAAACTGAAAATAATTAACTCCGAGTATATTCTACAGAAGGAAAAATGGAAGAAAAATGAAACGAAAGAGAACATGAATAAATGCTGGCATAAATTTTCGCTCTGGTCAGATAAAAACATGGATAAATGCTGACATCAATTTTTCGCTCTTCTTAGACAATGCCAAGATAAGCAGACAATGGTTCGCTACGCTTCTCCTAAGATAAGGGAGATATACATGGTCAAGTTGGAGTGAGTAGAACCTACGTAAAATATGTAAATATGATTTGATTCTTTATCATGCCACAGTCTACTACCTTGAAGTCGAAAAAGAGCACCTAAATTTACATAGAAAAGAAAGAGGCGTGTATCATCAAGGAAAAATGCTGAATTAAAGCACATGATAGTGAGCCACAAAATCAAGAGCACCTTACAGTAAAAGCTCTTACCAGCAGCAGCAACCCCAGTGTGGGATGAATCAGCCGACACTGAGGGCTCGGATGTCCGATTGGCACAGGAGAAGATCGAAGAAGGCAAATATCGAGCATTCTTGAGGTGGGGTTTTGAGTTCCATATGATATGTGCAGCAAGCTGACCCGAATTCCATGAACCAGAAAAGCGGCAAGAAAGTTCAAGACTTGAAAAGCCAGGAATGGAAGATCCCAATCCAAAACGGCTGTGGCCTCTGTGGAAAAGTTTCTGCGAAACTAAAAGACTAGAGGCAGCGGTGGAAGCCATACCCATTACCAATGCACCTGCAACGAGAGGGAAATATAAGCTTTGCCAAACCCTCCTAGTCCTAGAGAGAAGGCTGGTAAAGCTAAGTGCCTGTGGCTAAACTAAATTCCCCAAGCGAAGCAAACTGGCTGTGTTAGCATCATAATCTCAGCGGCTACTTGGTTTTCATAAGCACCGATGAAGGGAAGATACGAGTGAACAAAAAGGTAACATCTTTCGTTATTATAGTTCCCCATACATATGGACGAAGAGTGAAGATCATAGATTTTTCAACACCCAACAGCAAAGGTCTAAACTTTCTTAGCTTCGCGGACAGATGATCGGGTTTTGGCCGTTCTAGTTCCTCTTTTTTCTCCTTTTTTGCACCCTTTTAACCACCTTCCTCCCGTCTCTGGCGCATGAAAAGTAGTGGGTACACAAAGGATTCTGCAAAAACAAGACACAAGGAAACGAAGGAGGAGGGAGACGATGCGTCTTACAGGATCCCAAGCAAGAACGCGCGCGCAAGAACTGTCCTTTTCTTAGCACTCCGATCGAGAGAGAGAGAGAGAGAGAGTACGAATGAAACTGAGAGAATTCCTAGAGTTCTCGTGTTCGAGCCTTGAGAGACAGGGAGGCGCTCCTACGATTACGTTCAAATGTTTTCTGTCTAAAATTATATTCATAAAAATGATTTTTAAATAATAATAATAATTATTATTATTATACTGATAATTACAACGACAATGCATCTTCCACGACTATCAAGAGTGCACAATTCTAACACGTGCGCCAAATATAAAAATAAAAATGGCAAATTGATTATAGTTATTAAATTTAGAATATGAAAGAGCAATGGAAAATTAGGAATGGTATCCAGATGGTTGTGAAGCTATTGGAAACTTAAATTAAAAGTCAATGGACTATTTGGAACCATTAAAGCGATCAATATAAGGACCATCTCGAAATGCTTCTTCATGTTTACTTGCTGCCTTTTGATTATGAAAATTAAACTTGTTAACAAAAAAAAAAACAAAATTTTTTCATCTGTTAGCGAGTACTGGAAAAACGAAATCAGTAGCCCATCTTTTACAGATTAGTGTAACGCTGCTAAATCTTTGATGGGCCCGTCCGAGCCCTCATATTCATACATCGATCCAAAAGACATGAACGGGCAAGTTTAGGCAGGCGATTCTTTTTCCAAGATTTTGCTCACGCACCTCAGCCACCCGAAGATCTGATGTTTATTTGGAAGTCTTAAACCTATGATATTTATGACGATTTAGTCTTAAATATTTTAATTTTGTCAATTGAGTCCTAAAAATTTTATAAATTTATCAATATAGTCCATTCAGTTAATTTTAGCTGGAAATCGCCGTTAGCAAATTTTATTAATTTTTTTCTTTTTTTTTTCTCCTTCTTCCTTTGCCGGTCATCGGCCCTCTCGGCGATGGCCGGTGACCGGCCACAGCCTACGACTATGGAGGGGCGACGTCGCCGGCCTCTGGCGAGGTCGAGCCGTGCTAGCTTCAATCTGATCTAGATTGAAGGCCCTGAAGGAACTACCCAACAACTGCAACAATGGCTACCCAATCAACAAGTGTGCAAATCCGAGTAAGAAATTGCTCCATCCATTCGCACCGACGAAAGCAAGATCGAGGATGAAGTACAAGAAGAAGACGACGACGACTCGCTCAACTGCTTGCTACTTGTCCAGCCGATCTCACTCGAAACAGACAAGGCTTGACTTAGCCGAATCTAACGAGGGCTAGCCTCACCAGAGGCCAGCGAGATCACCCCTCACCAAATCCCAGCAAAGGTGAACTTGCCTGAGGCTGGCGAGGGCGAATCTCGCTGCCGTGTCACATAGGATGACCGGCATTCATATTAGTAATTTCCAGCAAATTTTTGAAAGATTTAAGACTCAATTGGCATAATTGAAATGTTAAGAATTGAATTAGCACAAGTATAATAGATTTAGGGCTTTATTGGTAATTTTCCCATGTTATTTACTATAATAAAATTAATAGTTTAGATGCCTAATGCTCGGCCCAGCCCGACCCAGCAAGCCAGCATTGGGTGGACATATAGACATTGATGAACCTTAAAACTTATTTTCACAAGTGTACGGAAGTCAACCCTTGTTTTATATCAAGGAAATTCCACATGTTAGCTAACAATTGATGAAAAAAGGTTGGAAAGTGGCGCCTAAGATATGACCTTGGACAAGTTGGAGGAGTGGGTGTGCAACGAAGTCATTAAACAAATTATATTAACGTAAGCCAATCTCCATCTAATTTTCATCTTCCTCCACACGCAAAGGGGAAAAGCCCCGCCGGAGGCAGCTCAGCCTCACTTGGCTATGATACACGCAAAGAAATTAGTAAAAAAGATGCCTTTGATTTGTAATATTTCCACGGACAAAGCAGGGGCTGAAGCATCTTTTTGCATTTGGTAATGACGTGTAATTTGGGTATGTGATGCTATTATTTAGTGATACTAGGGATCTCAAATAATGTGATTTATGGTAACTTATGGGTGCTGCAGAGAGTATTTGAATAAGCGTATCGCTTTCAAACTTTAAGAATATGTCAAAGTTAGTAAACCTAGCGTTGAGAATCTTGGTTATATATATGTTGTATCCATCCTAGTCCCAAGGTCGCCAGTCATCAAGCTCCACTTTCCAACTCCCTCCACCACCACACCACCACCACCGCCACCACCGCCACCGGAAACACCACCAAGTCCTCCATCTTCATCTTCATCATGTCGAAGTGCCCGAACCACGGCGGCCACAAGTGGCGGAAGATATGGATGAGAGTGTTCCAGGTCAGCCTGGTGGTGGCCTTCATAATCCTGCTCATAGTGCTCATAACATGGGCCATCCTCCAACCCCACAAGCCCAGCTTCACCCTCCAGGACGCCACCGTCTACGCCTTCAACGCCTCCGCCACCCCGAGCCTCCTCACCTCCACCTTCCAGGTCACCATCTCCTCCCACAACCCCAACGACAACATCGCCATCTACTACGACCGCCTGGACGTCTACGCCACCTACCAGGACCAGCAGATCACGCTCAGCACCCGCATCCCTCCGACCTACGAGGATACCAATGACGTCGACGTGTGGTCGCCCTTCCTCTACGGCATCTCCATCCCTATATCTCCCTACTACGCGGCTGAGCTGACCCAGGACCAGAGCAACGGGTACGTGGTGGTCATGATCAGGCTGAGGGGGCGGGTGAGATGGAGAGTTGGGTCTTTCACCTCGGGAGGGTACCACATTTTCGTCAACTGTCCGGCATATATTACAATGGGGAGCCGGAGCACGGGAATTGCAGTCGGGAACAACGCGGTCAAGTATCAGTTGATGCAGAGTTGCAGCGTTAATGTCTGATGATCGACGCTATTGCTATGTTTGTTTTACTGGCTATGGTACAAATCGTCGATTAGCTTCTCTTTTTCCTTAACTAGCTTCCATCAATAACTTGTTCCTCTCTTTCTCCTTATTTCTTATGTTTTAAGTTCTGCAATATAGTGGTACATTACAGTGATTCCCTCAATCATGTGTAGAGTTATGGGATGATGTGGATGTTATGAGAGAGGTTTTTCCAGAAGAGAAGATGGATATGTAAGCAAAGCCATTAATACATACCTACATTGTTATATGTATATGAAGTGTGTCGTCATTTCTGTAAGATAGACGAAGGAAGTGTCGAAATTTGGGCGACTTTGACAAACATTACATGGCAGTTAGAATTGGACAGTGACGATTGTACATCGTTGTCGTGTGTAATGGACGTTGTGGGGTCCTTTTCCAACTGCAAATTCTTGCTCTTCTCATCTCATGAGCTCCGATGGGCGGCGGCTTCTTCATGCTTTTTCCTCTCATTGTTTCTGGATGGCGAAAAAGAAAAGCGAAATAAACCCTTCTTTTAACAAATATATATCGCTAGCCAACCGTTTAATTGGCTCTGTCTTTTCTCTTGGGTTTGACCTTGTTTGTTGCCTGAGGAAGGAAGCGTTCTTGTTTTGGTCGACACTCTTTTATCTTCCCAAAAACGCAAAACCAATGTGATCGACGATCACATTGCAGAGAGAGCACCAAAAACCTATTCAAATATATATATATATATGAGACATATGTTCCAGGCTGAGGCTAAGCAGTCAACTTTGTTTAACTTTCCTGGGAGGACACCAAGAAAAAATAACATGGGCCTAGTGAATGATTCAACTGCAATAACCAAATTGTGCATAAACGTCAACAGAAAGAAATCAAAACACCCCTCTCTATCGTCTTCAGTGGCTAGCATAATAGTGAGAAGGATTAGCACGAGATTTCTTGGAGGAAAAGCTCTCTTCACTTTGGGATTGACATGTGAATGATCACATCTCGAGCTGACATAGGAAGAAGCAAAGGGAAAAGGGCTGTGCAAGAGCCTGCCCTCCTAAGGTAAGTGGCATTGTAAGGAAGAGGGAAAACTAGGGCAGGTGATGCTTGGTGAAGGTTGCTGCATCTGTCATTAAAAGGGACGAAAGAAGTTTCTTCGCATATCTTAACCCTCCCCTCCATTTTTATTTTGGTGCGTGAAGCATGTATAGCACCAATGGTCCCCCTCCTTGGATCATCACTTCATAAGAATAATCAAGATTGAAGTATATAATATGATTACTGACATATCTTATCTTATGCGGTTAAATGAAAGATTCGAGTACCAGAAGTCAACTCTTCAAAGGCCTCCGGTGTGGAGTCCGGTTAATGAATGAACCTGCATCTCTCGCTATTATTTTAATCAGACATCAGGTCGGACCGGACTCGGATGCATCCATTAGGATTAGGATTGGGATTAGGCGTTGGTTATGAGTCGACACCCATCGGATTAGACACTAAACGCCCCGGTTTTGTTTATCAGTGTCAACTCAATTAACTCGAGTTGATGGGATTAGGTAGAGTCCAAGGAGATTCTGTCGTCTTTGTTTGTTGGTAATGTCATTTTTTAGGCTGCTCTAATCACGTCATTTTTTGTCGCGAGAGTAGACGCTGAGCATGTGTGGTAAGGTTTCCGTTAAGAGAGTCGGCTTTCCTTAAGAGATGTTTCATTTCACAGCCCAACGAAAACTTTGGATTTTGTCTCCGTTTGTTTCATGAAAAATATTTTTCGGCGTTTGAATCGCTTAAAAAAATGAGTTATTAAAAAGTGTTTTCCCAGTTAACAGAAAAGGTTTTTCCAGTTAACAGAAAAGGTTTTTCCATCACAGCTTAAATTCAAGAAAATAATTTTTTTAAAAAAAAATCGGAAACCATTTTCCAAAATATGACTAAGTATCAATATGATTGGACAAAAAACTTTACACTTGGACATAAGAACCTCAACACTCATCTCCAAACCTTTGGCAGCGAGGCCGAGTCCATTGAGGCTGGGCCTGGAACCTCGACACCCTAGTTCGGGTTGATCTAGACCGTGCCAAAGACCCCAGCCGCCGCGCCCAGGTCCATCTAAAGGCGGGCTTGGGACACCGACGCCCATACCTGGGACGCCAAGCTCGGCTATATCGAGGTCGAGCCTGGGTCCTCAACGCCCGTGCCCGAGTTCATCGTGACCAGGTCTCGGACCCCAGTGCCCATCCCATTGGGTTCATCGAGGCCAAGCTCGAGACTCCTGTGCCACTACCCAAGTCCCCTATGCCGGCGCCTTGGTCCATTTAGCATTGGGTCCGGGCCCAAGTGACAGGGATCGCAGCTTGGCCTTGATGGACTCAAGCATGGGCACCAAGGTCTCGGATCCACGCACAGGGGACCAGGTCTCAAGCGCCGGGTTATGGGCCCCGAGCGTAGGCACTAGTTCTAGAGTCCCAGTCCTAGCCTCAATTAACCTAGGCCTAGGAGCCAGAGTCCCGAGCCTAGGTCCTACCAAGGCCCAGGCACCGGGGACCTAGGCCCAGCTTCTATAGACCGGGGGCCTGGGCACCATGGAGCAGGGCACGAACTAGCGCCCAGGAGTCAAGGATCCAGGCTTGAGACCCCATTGCCTGTGTCAAGTTCCTTGGTACCCATGCACAAGCTACTAGCGCTCAAATAGTGTATGTCTAATTAGGAAAATCAAATAAGATTTTCTTTACCAAACAATGAAAAATATTTTCTAGTTTATTTTCAAGTCTCGGCCAAACACCAAAAAATATTATCATTTTCCTAAAAAATGACTTCCCGAAAAATATTCTGTAGAAATGTCATATTTTCTGCGAAACAAACGAAACCTTTATTTCATTTTATTTGATCTTTCGCTAAGTGCCCTTAATGCACTCTTTAACAAAATCCATACGATAAACCGACGCTACGTCGTGCGGCCAAATTGAAGATTGATTATGTATACACCCCTGCGAAGCATTCACGGGGAGGGGAATGGTTAGTTAGGTGCTGCATGAAAACCATTCTGGTTCTGTCCAGAACTGGTTTTTTGTTCTCAGAATCAGTTTTGGACCAGAAATCCGTTTGATAACGCAATTTCATTTTTCTATTTCCGGGACAAGTTTGCTTCCAAAACTGATTCTGAAACTAGAAATGAGAACAAAAAAAAAGTTGGTTTTTCATTTCTGGAACAAAAGTGAGAACCATTTCTGAGGAATTCATTTTCTTCAACACACATATTCATATGGAAGTCACGATCTTTGAGGTGAGAAAAAAAAGCAAAAAATCAAAAATTTCAAAACTTAACAGAATGATTTAGAATCTGTGGCTACCCACTTTCAGTGAAATTTAAATTTTTTTAGGTACCGAAAAAAATAAAAAATAATAAAAAATTTCAAAATTTCACAAAATGGCTTAGAAAACCTATGGCCACCCACTTTGGGCAAAATTTAATTTTTTTAGTTGCCAAAAAAAATAAAAAATAATAAAAAATTCTAAAATTTAAAAACTTCACAAAATATCTTAAAATACCTGTGGCCACCCAATTTGAGCGAAATTTTATTTTTTTAGGTGCTGAAAGAAATAAAAAAAAGCAAAAAATAAAAAATTTCAAAACTTCACAAAATGGCGTAGAATACTTGTGGCCATCCACTTTGAGTGAAATTTAAATTTTTTTAGTTGCCGAAAAAAATAAAAAAAATAAAAAATTTCAAAACTTCACAGAATAGCTTAAAATACCTGTGGCCACCCACTTTGAGCGAAATTTAAATTTTTTTATATGCCAAAAAAATAAAAATAAGCAAAAAAGTAAAAATTTCAAAACTTTACAGAATGGCTTAAAATACCTGTGGCCACCCACTTTGAGCGAAATTTTATGTTTTTAGTTGCCGAAAAAAATAAAAAAAAAAAAAGAAAAAAAGAAAAAATTTCAAAACTTCACAAAATGGCTTAGAATACCTGTGGCCATCCACTTTAAGCGAAATTTAAATTTTTTTAGGTGCCGAAAAAAATAAAAAAATAAAAAATAAAAAACTTCACATAATTGCTTAGAATACTTGTGGCCACCCACTTTGAGTGAAATTTAAATTTTTTTAGGTGTCGAAAAAAAAATAAAAATAAGCAAAAAAGAAAAATTTTCAAAACTTCACAGAGTGGCTTAGAATACATGTGGCCATCCACTTTGAGTGAAATTTAATTTTCTTTAGGAACCAAAAAAAATAAAAAAAATAAAAAATACCATTTGGGCATCTAAAAATAATTAAATTTTACTCAAAGTGGGTGGCTAGAGGTATTGTAAGTCATTCTGTGAAGTTTTGAAATTTTTGATTTTTTATGTTTTTTTTTCACCTAAAAAAATTTAAATTTCACTCAAAGTGGATGGCCACATGTATTCTAAGTCATTCTGTGAAGTTTTGAAATTTTTTATTTTTTGCTTTTTTTTTCACCTCCAAAAATTAAAATTTCAATCAAAGTGGGTGGCCACAGGTATTCTAAGCCATTCTGTGAAATTTTGAAATTTTTAATTTTTTTAAATTTTTTTTGAGTATCTCAAAAAAATTAAATTTACTCAAAAAGTGGGTGGCCACAGATATTCTAAGCCATTTTGTGAAATTTTGAAATTTTTTTTATTTTTTTGGGCACCTAAAAAAATTTAAATTTTACTCAAAGTGGGTGGCTACAAGTATTCTAAGTAATTCTGTGAAGTTTAGAAATTTTTTATTTCTTGATTTTTTTTTTAAAATTCAACAAATTTCCTATTTTCCCGAAATCTGAATTTTTTTTTATTTTCTTGACATTTTGATGATTTTTTCTGGAATTTTTCAATTTTTTGGGATTTTTTGATTTTTTTTTTTAGATTTTTATGAATTTTTCGGATTTTTTAATTATTTTTATTCCATTTCTAAAAAAATAGATTTTTGTTCCTGGAAATAGAATTTTCTTTTGTTTATCAAACGGGTTTTTGTTTCAGGAAATAGAAATTTTGTGCTGTTATCAAACGGGTTTCTGTTCTAGATTTAGAAATTTTTGGTCGTTATCAAACGGGTTTTTTTCTCAGAAACTCATCCGTAGAACAGAAATAGAAAAATCTATTTCTGGTTCAGGAACTCATTTCGGAACAGAATGGTTATCATGCGCACCCTTAAGGTGCTGCATGAAAACCATTCTGGTTTTGTCCAGAACTGGTTTTTCGTTCCCAGAATCAGTTTTGGACTAGAAACCCGTTTGGTAACGCAATTTCATTTTTCTATTTCCGGGACAAGTTTGC